AAAAATTTGGGTCAAAAAATTTTAGTCAAAAAAACTTTGTCAAAAAAATTTTTGGAAAAAAATTTTTGGTCAAGAAATTTTTAGTCAAAAAAATTTTGGTCAAAAAAATTTTTGGAAAAAAATGTTTGGTCAAAAAATTTTTGGAAAAAAATGTTTGGTCAAAAAATTTTGGTCAAAAAAATTTTGGAAAACAACTTTTTTGTTTGTTCACTTTTATGGCACTCGTCGCATTTTGTAACTTTATAATCCTTTTCAACCGTTGTTTCATTATTTGATATATTCAGTATCGGTATGATGGTCTCACCCCCTCTCATTGACACTACTGCGGTCTTTGTTAAAGCACTTGCCTCTAATGGAATTTTTATTGTCTCAGCCCTAACAATTTTCTCCTTAAGCGCTAACTCTATTGTACCTACATCATCATTATCATCTACCTTCTTCATTTCCTCATAGCACACTCCTATTGGCTCTTTCTCTATTGGCACAATACAATCATCGATCTCGCTTCCCAATACCATTTTGTATACCTCATGATTGTGCACTACACCAGACTTCACTCTCTTATCACGAACCATCGATATCATCATTGTCAACATTTCATCTTCTCGGCGTCTGCTTTCCAAATACATTTTGTATAACTCTTGTAGTTCACTCATATTATTTTTTTGTTATTGAAATGTCACAAACATAATCTCACACTTTCTTATTCGTCTCTAAAATATCTTTATGTATATTCCTGGTAATCCTTCAGTTATCCTCGAGTAATCCCACTTCTGAATTGTTAACTCTGGTCGTCTCTATTAATACACAATGTTCTATTGATCACTTTATTTTACTCAATTACACCACGTTCACTATATACGTATCATATGGAAAATTATTATAATCATAAAAAGTTATGATTATACCAAGTTCTTTCCCACTAATATCTCAGTTTTTTCAAAAAGTGGAGTTAGTCGATGTGTGCACTGAACGGCTCATATATACTTGTTTTACAATAACTCAACGCCTACTATATCACGCTGTCATTATCATAATTAATAGTCAATAAAATTTTAGGAAAAAAAGTTTTGGGAAAAAAAAATTTTGGTCAAAAAAATTTGAGTCAAAAAATTTTTGGTCAAAAAAATTTTGGTCCAAAAAATTTTTGGTAAAAAAATTTTTGGTCAAAAAAAGTTGGATCAAAAAAATTTCGGGAAAAAAACTTTTGGTCAAAAAAAATTTGGTCCAAAAAATTTTTAGTTAAAAAAATTTGGGTCAAAAAAATTTTAGTCAAAAAAATTTTGGCCAAAAAAAAATTTGGTCAAAAAAATTTTTGGTCAAAAAAATTTTGGTCAAAAAAATTTTTGGTCAAAAAATTTTTGGTCAGAAAATTTTTGGTCAAAAAAATTTTTGGTCAATAAAATTTCGGGAAAAAAACTTTTGGTCAAAAAATTTGGTCAAAAAAATTTGGTCAAAAAAATATTGGTCAAAAAAATTTTTGGTCAAAAAAATTTGGGTCAAAAAAATTTTGATCAAAAAAATTTCGGGAAAAAAACTTTTGGTCAAAAAAATTTGGTCAAAAAAAATGTTGGTCAAAAAAAATTTCGAAAAAAAAATTTTCGGAAAAAAACTTTTGGCCCAAAAAATTTGGTCAAAAAAATTTTCGAAAAAGAAAAATTGGTCAAAAAAATTTTGAAACAAAAAATTTTGGTCAAAAAATTTTTCGGAAAAAAATATACTTAACTATTTAATTTTTATACCTTGAAGTGTAACTAGTATACAAAGGTGCTAACTAAAACATACGGCTGCTCTTGGCAATTGGACGTTTATCGCCCAACTGGACTCCCCACCGCGATAAGGTGTTAGCCACGAGGGGGAGGAAATAGAAAGAGGATAGAGGGATCGATTCCCTCTGAGATCGACAAAGACTTAGAAATCCGGTTTTGCAAAGTCCGGCCTATGCCACGATCGCCCATTTTACTTTGGACCCGGTCTTCCAAAGTCGACGAACGCGAACGCTTCTCACTTACTCACACGTACTCAAGCACACCATGCAACATGCAACATTCAACATGCAACACACAAAACACAAAACTGACAGCCCCCTGCCCAAAAATTTGCTTATGACAACCGTCGCTATGTTGTCACCGTTATGACACGTAAAAAAATAATTTTACTGACAAGTTCGACCAAAAAAGTCCAAGTCGGTTCAAAAATGTCAAAAAAAACTATATTTTTCACTCAATTCAATTTT